TGTGCATCGGGCTTTGTGCGAGGCGCTTCGACTGATGCACAGTTACGATCAACTCGACGCCAGTGCCCTTGCTACAGGGGAGCACTTGACTCGCTGGGTGATTCAGACCGAGCTGGCCGTAGAGCGCAACCCTCTACAACCTGACTACACCGGCTTGGACATCGTGGATGGGACGGCGCAGCTACCTGATGGACGGGCAGCCACGGCGAAATTCACGGAATGGGTGTCCACCCGCCTCAAGGAGCGGGCGTCGTTGTGGAAACAGGAGCGACTTTATCAACAAGAACGACGGCATCTTCGAGGAAAAGGTCGCGAGACGGACGGTGGCGACGATAGCGACTCGGAGGAGCAGGGCAAGGGCAACAGGCGGAAGAAGAAGAAGAAAAAGAACAAGGACTTTGCAGAGAAGGGAGATCAAGGCGCCCAGACGGGAAAGGGCGCCAGTGGCTCGAAGTGAAGCACTCCGGTGGGCCCGGCCGAGGGGGCGAACGCCCCGGGACCACCATGACTACCTCGGTTTCTGCAAGCGAATTCATTCTGGGACAGACTTCGGTCCATCGGCGACACGGGGATCCTTTTCCTCTGCCGCGACTTTCCGATGGTGGGCGAAGCTATCCCCTTTCTCCTTTTGAACGACTGCAACGGCGAGTCGATGCTTCGGCTCGGACTTTGAACCACCTCGCCGCAGTCCCTTTTGTTGCCGGCCCAGCCTCTCGGAGATTGCCTTTGACTCAGGTACAGCAATGGATCATGGACGATCTTCATCGGCGGGTAGCCCTCTATGGCGAGTGCCCCGAGGACATCACCGAGGACACCGTCATGGGCGACCTTGGGCGACGCTCCGACCTGTACAACCAGGAGGCCAAACACCTGGTCGGCATCGACCTGAGCAAGATCAAAATTCTGAAGCGGCGCCTGGTCCCGAAGGACGCCAAGACTCTGTCTCCTCCGGAGGCGGTGGGCTACCTCAAGCACTTCGACGAGCTGGTGGAGCGCACCCCTCGAGAGATGGAGTACTTACGGGCTAGCGGTACCCTAGTGGAACCGTACTGGGATCCTAGCTTGCGAAGGTCACGGCGGCGACGGCTCGAACTCTACAAGGCCCTCCACGCGGCCAACCTCTTGGACTTCAGACGTCGACGCAAGGCTCGGGTGGGGATTTTCACGGTGCGCAAAAAGGATGGGGCCCAGAGGCTTATCCTGGATGCGAGGCAGGCAAACGCCTGTCATAGAGCACCGCCTACGACTCGGCTTTCCACACCCGCAAGTTTGACCGCTTTGGACCTCACGGCTCAGTCACTCGAGGCCGACGGCTTTGGCGGCATCCTTGGCGACGATGGACCCACTATCACTGCGGAAAGCGGTGACGTGGGAGATTGTTTCTATAACTTTGCCATCCCAGAGCTCACCGCGTGGTTTTGCACGGAGGACGCCTTTACACGAGAAGAGCTGAAGGAGGAGCTGGACATCGACGTGGACGCGGTCTACGACGACGACTACCAGAAGGAGATTCCCTTGCAACCCGGCGAGAAGGTCTTTTGTGCCTTTAAAGGGGTGCCGATGGGGTGGTCCTGGGCGTTGTACTTCGCGAACGAGATTGTCTGCCATCAGGTGGGAGCTTCAAGCGGCCGCCCAGGGCAAGACGAGATTCGAGATCGACGTCCTCCTCCTCGGCTTCTTCCGGGGCACCCGGTGGTGGGCACCTACGTCGACAACGTCCACGTCTTCGGCGGGCGACGAGGCGAGGCCGGAGCCCGGATGGGAGCCATTGCGGAGCACTTTGACGAGCTCGGCATTCCCTTCGAGGTGGATGGGGTGGAGAACCAACCTCATATGGACAGCTTGGGATTAAGGCTCTCCTTCAACAATGGGCACAGCCGGGCGATGGCCAAGCCGGAGCGGGCCTGGAAGCTCTGGCACGCCACACGTGGGCTACTCAGGCGACGGCGACTTTCTGGAGAGCTACTGCGCGTCTACCTGGGCCTGGCCAATTTTCATTTTCAGCTGATGCGACCGGCCCTCTCCATCTTCTCCGCTTGCTACAAGTTTGCCGCCGACAACCTGGGACGACGAACTACGGTCTGGCCGTCGGTGCGCACCGAGCTCCGAATGGCATTGAGCCTCATTTTCTTGGTCGAGTTTGACATGTCGGCGACGGTCTGCTCGGAGGTGCACATCGGGGACTCTTCGGACCGTGGCTACGGAATGTTGGCTACGGAGGCTACGCACGCCGAACTACGACCGGCGCTCCTACACCAAGAGAAGTGGCGCTTCATAGTCTCCTCGGAGCCGGACCTACGCGCTACTCCGGGACCCGAAATCGGAGAAGGAGAACCTCTTGGATTCCGTGGTGGGGTCCCTCAGGCGGGCCTGGGGCGAGACACTCGTTACGGCCAAGAGCTGGCGGCACGGACCGAGGAGGCTTACACGACCCGGCTTTTCAAACAACGACGCGCCCGGGTACTTGGGCCTCCTCAACCGAGCTCTTCGACAGTGGTTCATGGACCCTCGATTCCCCCTCTGGCGCGCACTTGGGACGACCCGAGCCGCTGGAGACTTATCACCTCGGGCCCATGGACAAACATCAAGGAGCACATCAACATCAAAGAAGCACGAGTCTGCCTGATGAGCTTGCGGCGATTGTGCCGGACTTCTCGCAACTGCGGGAGTACGGCCCTCACCCTCACCGACAGCCTGGTTTCTTGCTTGGCTTTGGAAAAGGGCAGGAGCAGCTCATCGGGGCTGAATGCCGTGTGCAGACGGGCGGCAGCTTATCAGATAGCCTGTCGCATACAATGGCGACTTCGACACATCGAGACGGACCGCAACATTGCCGACGCTCCTTCCCGCCAGTGGGGGCCTGACTTGGAACGCAAGGGCTACACCCCGAAGAAGAGACGAAGTGATATCGACGACGTCACCCAGGGCATCCGAGTAGGTGCCGACCTTGAGGGGCTGGGACCAACGACGGCGACTCCTTCAAGCTCTTCTACGAGGCCGCCGCTGCGATCCTCTTTGGAGACCCCACCAACGACGGCTTCACCAACGACGACGTCAACAACGGCGACTTCCAGGACGGCTTCTACGACACAAGCAGTGTACTTCCTAGAAGTGTTCTCCGGGACGGCGCGACTCACAGAGGCAGTAGTCCAACAGGGCCTCCGAGTACTTCCTGACGTAGAGGTTCACAAAGGTCGTCAATTTGACATGCTGCGGCCGGCCAGCCAGAAGCTCATCTTCGATGCCATTCGAGATGGCAGAGTGTGGGCGGTCCACTTCGGCACGCCATGCACCGTGTGGAGCACGGCCCGGCACAACTTGAGGAATCTTCGGCGAGCACGACAAAAAGAAGCGGTCGGCGTGGCGCTGGCGTTGTTCACCGCTAGGGCCATTCGCTTGTGTATTGCTTGTAACGTATACTTCACTTTGGAGAATCCTCAAAGCAGTCGTCTATGGGAATTTGGACCTATTCGAGACCTTTTCAAGAACCCCAAGACTCACTTCTTCGTGCTGCACATGTGTGGATGGGGGGCCCCATACAAGAAACCTACAGGGATTCTCACCAACATGTTAGCCCTAGAGCGCTTGGTCCGCAAGTGTACACGAGATCATAGTCATGTGGCTTTGCGAGGGTCAGAGAGGACATTCATTCACGGCAAGCTGCAAATCCGCAATCGGGCAGCAGGAGCAGGAGCTTATCCTTATGAGCTTTGCCAAGCTTGGGCTCAGGTGCTCAAGCAGCAGAGCCCCTTGGGAGCACAAGGAAATGCTTCAAAGGGGGACACCGTGGCCTTCCTGAATGGCCTCGAAACGGCGGCGACCCGAGCTGACCGAGACTCTCCTTCAGCTGCCGGAGGACCTCTTCAGGCGAGCGACGGCAAGGCGCACTACTTCGAGCCCTACCTCCTGGACGCCCGCAGGTACATCCGCTCGCATCCGGTCGTCTTCGGGCACTTCACGGCCTCCGACATCACAGACCTCGTGGGCTACTTCAAGCTCTCAGAGGGACGACACCGTCGCTAGGCCGAAGCCAAAAAGCAAGCCTCGCACACAGCCGGACGGGACTTCACTTCCTGTTCACCTACAACTACGAACCCTAAAGGTCACTCAGCGCACCCTGGACAGCTACCACAAGCACATCCGCGAGTTCGAATCGTGGGCCAGAACACACAATCATCGTGTGAATGCCAACAGTTTGGACAGGATTGTGGTACGATACATGACTGAGCTCGCATTGGAGGAACAGGTCCAGCCTTCCACAGGGGCCTACCTGGTCTTCGGGCTTCAGCTCCTCAGATGCACCAAGCCCAAGGTGGAGTTCCTGCCCTTGTCCAAGGAGGCCCTGGCAGGATGGAGAAAGCTAGCTCCAGGAGGCATGCGCCTCCCCGTTCCAGAGGAGTTCATCTTTGACTTTGTGCACCTGGCCTTGGACGAAGACCACCTGGACATCGCCTTCTGCATGGTCGTGCAGTATGACACCTACCTCAGGCCTACAGAGTGTTTGGAGTTGAGCCGGGAGCACCTTGGATTCCCTGCGGGGGGCCGCTACAACAAATGGTCCATCGTGGTCGCTCCGTTCCAGCTGGGAGCTACCACAAAGACTGGCAAATTCGATGACTCGGTCCTCGTGGCGGACAAAAGCGACCGGGCCTGGCTGACCCAGGCCATGAACCTCTACGTGCACCGGCACCCCGACAAGCTCTTCCCCAAACTCTCCTTGGCTAAGTACGAGGCATGGTTCAGACACGCTGCTGACCAACTTCGCTACAGGTCCAAGTGCGTGATGCCTCACATCTTGCGACATTCGGGAGCGTCCAATGACGCCTTTCACAAGCGGCGCTCTCTTTTGGACATCCAAAAAAGAGGCAGATGGGAAGCGAAGAAGTCAGTCTCTCGGTATGAGAAACATGCACTTCTCCTCAAACGGTGGGAGCAAGCGGCTACGGATCGCCTGCCAGCCATCCGTCGCCGATCTCAGACACTGCCGACTCGTCTTCTGCAAGCGCTGCGATGAACGGTGTGAACACCACTGCTGAGGACTGGAATGGGGGTGGCAATGCTGCAGAGATGCTGAAGCCAAAGCGGCTTTTGCTTCTCAAAGTGACTCTCCTTGTCATCTGCCTCGGAGCCGACACTAGTCAGGGAGCTGGCATTGCTGATGCACGCTCGTGGCAAAAGATGGGCGCCGAGACTGACAAGGCCTGAGGGTTTGTAGAAGTCGTGACATGTGTAAACCTGAATAGGCCGTGCTGCAAGGCTTGAAGCCCGAACTTGTACATTCTCTAGCTTCTTTCAGCCTCCCGGGGCCA